TCCGCCGCCTCCCCTTCCCCCCTTAAAGCGACCGCGTCCTCCGGCTCCGGGTGCGGGAGCCCCAGAACCCGGAGAGACCCCCGACCACTCTCTGGCGCTCCCTCACACTTTCCCTGTCTCCTCCCGATTCGGGGGTCTGAGGATCCCCGCGACAGCCCTTCCAGGCCACCCTGGTGCACATATGTGGACACGCACCGGAAGATTGCTATTTTTAACATTTCCATATTGTTTACCGTGGGGAGAAATCCCACAATTCCTTGCACAAAATGCATAAATAATATTAAATGAGCTGCCGAGATACAAAGGGACTTTTGTAGTCCGCTTTCCTTGCTGGCGGAGAGGAATATTGTCACTCACATTTGACTTTGGTAACCCGGCAGCTTCCTGTCTTAAACGCAGAGCTGGCGCGCAGGACACTCCTCCTGCAGACACTTATTGTAAGTGTGTGCGTGTGCGTGTGCGGGGGCGCGTGCAGACGGCAGCCCTCCGCCGGGGGACACCGCTCCTCGTGGAACAGGCAGAGAGATCCGGGAGAGCGCGGGAGTGCGGTTTGGGACTCTGTTTGCCAGGGGAGGAATAGAGGAGCATGGGGGTTAGAGGTAAATCTTTTTTTTTACAAAGGAGAGGCGGGCTAACCTTTCAGCCAATCCTTCAAAGCCATCTGAACAGAAAATACTCGGGGTGGCAGCTGCTTCCCCCAACTGGGACCCAATCCCCGCCCCCCACCCCCGCCCCACCCCCACTGCCCGTAACTTCTCTACCCTGATTGAGGCACTACCAGGGCCGTCACCTCGTTTTCTTTGTCTTAAAATCCTCCAAACTAGTTTCACAGGGGAGCAGCGCCGACTTGAAAGAATTAGGAATCCAGTGGGGGGGTGGGGCCCCCAGTTCGTTTCTCACCTCCTCGCCTCCTTTCTAAAACTTTCTCTCCGGCTCCTGTGAGCATGTCCAGTTGGAGCTTCTGTTTCCTCTTCTCCTCCCTCCCTGCCCTCCCTCTCGGCTTTTTCCTGTTTGCTCTTCCTTCCCCATCAAATGCCCAGGCCCACCTGTCCATCATTTCAAATGCATTTTGATGGAAATTTGTAAACTTCAAGAAACACCCAGAAGGGCAACGCTGAGGGTTCTGGGAGTGTTCACAGAGTATGAGCACCCTCGACGGAGAGATGGTGGGGAGGGGAGACAGGGAGATAGAAGCTTGGCCACCCTAGGTGTGACCGGCCCTGGGCAGCTGCAAGGTGTCCAGCAGCCACGCCCCTCCACCCCATGGAGTTGAGTTCTGGGGCTGGGACAGCCAGTAGGGAGCTGCCAGGTCCTCACGGAACATGGAGGACTCAGGGCAAGCACCCTCCTGGCAGTGTGGCCTGTCAGGCCAACTTGGGGCTTAAAGGTTGTGCCCTGGCCTGGCCCAGCAACCCTCACACCTGTACCCAGGTCCAGTCCTTGCTCTGCATGGCTTCTGCCCAAGCACAGCAGGCTTCAGAATGCTGGCTGGAGTGGGACAAAAAGCAACAGTTACCAAAGCATTGCTCCCAGGGAAATTAACCCCTAGAGGAGGGAGGATGGTGTGAGGGGCTGGACTGGGTCCCTAGACACTGAAAGTGGCAGGTGAAGGCAGGCAGGTGACCTGGAGGTGGTAGGCTCTAGGCAGACAGGAAATATCTGTCCTCTGTGTGTCTCAGGCAGGGTGGGAACGTCAATTCTCATTTTGGGACTGCCATCTCTTTTCCCTCCTCCCTCTATTTCCCCTTCATTTGAGAGGTCCTATATCAGATTTTCTGGCTAGGCACACACCTTCCAGGTGTCCTCCCTGAACCTTAAAAAACAAAACCCCACAGTCTACCTGCCCCTAGGAAGTGGGGCTGGTGAGAATTTGTGGGAAATCCTATTGACATACGCTTAAGGTTTGGGGAGAACATTTTCCTGCATTTCTGGAAACTCCAACCGTCACAGGTCAGGAGTGGATAGTTCGATTACTTTGGGTCTCGAGCATGACGTCGACGAAGGAGACATCCAGAACTATTTTCCGTCGTTCAAAATCATCGCAGGTTAATTTCTCCATCTGTCCCATGAAGACCAGTTAGGCCATCTCCTGAGAAGTATTTCTAATTTCTTAGAAATCTTTGGCTCCGATCGCCTTCGCATAAATGAGCCCAAGGTGCTGGACTCCGCCTATGTTATTTCTTGAGTCATGACTCCAACACAAACCTGAGAAGCAGGGGCTATCTCCAGACACATCTAACTGGCTTGTGAGCAGAGACCAGTCCTCCCAGGGTCTGCCGGCTGCGCTGTGGGGTTGGCTTGAGGGAGAAGGGAAATTTTGGGGTTACCCGCAAGGGAGGAGGGTGGAGGTCGTGGGAAGAAAAGGGGAATGAAAATGGAATGGGGAGAGATCTAATTAGACAGTATCAGACCACCCAAAGTGGACCCAAACATGAGAACTGAGAGTGAGCAGCACCCAGAGGGCCAGGGAGGAGGGTTGGGAAGCTGGGATGGAGCCACAGAAAGTTGGGTTGCCCAGGGCCTAGAGGAATCTAAGTTTTACAGACATAGAAATGTTCGCGAGCTGGTTCAGAAAGCTCCTAAAACGTGCTTGGGGCCCAGCTCTGGCCTCCTGCCCCATCTGGAACGCGCGCTTTCGGAGATGCGGGGAGTTGGCATTGGCAAGTCTCCCGCCCGGGCGCCCCTGCGCGAGGCCAGCCCAGCCCTCCACCGGCCTCCA